TATGGGAGGCGATGGCAAGCAACTCGGGGGAACCCCACAGAACCGTGTAGCTGCCCCTCCTATTCACCTTCAGCTCGATGGACTTCAAGTTCAACTCGAGCTCAAGGCAGATGCAGAAGTCCTCTGATGGCCGCTCTGGTGTAGGCAGCATTGCCAATAGAGACTGGGCAGAGTACAGGAACTCAGCAAGACTCAGGAATGGTCACCATCCATGGAGAGAGCTTGTAAGTGGTGAACTTCCAGTAGTATCTGGGGATTCATTTAAACAGCAGATTGACTTGCATGGGCAATCCAACTGCACTGTTGTGACCAGCATGGGTAGCGACACCAGCTACGGGGAAGACAAATTCCTGAACAAACTAATCGGGATGGCCAGCTCTACCACTGGTATAAAACTGGACTTCTTTGGTCNGGAGAGAGCTTGTAAGTGGTGAACTTCCAGTAGTATCTGGGGATTCATTTAAACAGCAGATTGACTTGCATGGGCAATCCAACTGCACTGTTGTGGTCCGCTGGGGTAGCGACACCAGCTACGGGGAAGACAAATTCCTGAACAAACTAATCGGGATGGCCAGCTCTACCACTGGTATAAAACTGGACTTCTTTGGTCCAGTGGCAGTGTTAGCAAGAAACCATTAACTCTTTCTGCTGGACCAACATTATGCAGCAGATCATTACTCCACATTGCTCTAGATTAGTGCTTCTCAAACTGGTCCTTGGGGACCCCTAGATAGTCAACACTGACTGTCTGGCTGGAAGCTGGAAGAAAGCAAAAACATGGACCATCTGGAAGTCCCCAAGGACCAGGTTAAGACACACATCATGTCTGCCTGCTACCATCAGACTAAGCAACGCTAATCCTCCACCTCCTCTTCCCAGTGATTAATGTGTACAAATTTCACATTAAAAGCAATTTTAAAAATAGAATTCATTTTTATCAGAAAATGGGCTTGACTCTATCATAAATGGATAAACACATTATCATCAAGTTAGAGAACAGAAGCAACCAGAATTTGTGACAATATGTATTCTTTGGGGGTCACTTTTTTCCAAATGGACATACATTAAGAGAGCAGGTCAGACAGTCCTTGGAGCCGTTGGGGGTTAAGGGCTTTGCTCAAGGGCCCAACTGGGAAACCCCTGTAGCGAGCCGGGAATCTGAACAGATTCCAAACGCAAGTACAGCGCTTACCAGTTCACCATCCCCAAAAGCCCGCAGATAATAGCCTTAGTCATGGAGGAGACTCTATGCCTTCTGAGATCTGATTCAGTTTCCGTGCAGCCCGAGTTTAAGCACTATCTTCTGCTGTAAACATCCTTACAAACCGCATGAAGGAAAAAACAGACATGGAGTAAGAGGTCGGATTGCAGTACACACTTTCAATTATTCTAATGAATCTTTAATAAAGAGTTAGAGTCTCTCTGTTATTCACTCTAATTTGGCGAGCACATCTCAGTGATGAATCACTGCAGTGGTCCAACCCTTCCATTACTTTCCACACGTGCACTTTTACTGACCTCTTGGTGTAAGTGCTGAGCTATAATCAGAAAGGAATCTATCAGACAATTAAGTGCATAACAATTGCACATCTATTTCTCTGCTCTCTTATTTTCTTAGTGCTTTTACTGTATTTGTGTTTTATTTGACTCTAATAATATTTAATTCCTAGTCTAGCCTAAGTTTACTTTATTAAATGATTGCAACTGCCGTAGCTGCTTTTGATAATGTCTGAAATAATGTCTAACCTGTCGGTAAGCACACACTGCCCAGCACGTAAGTGGAGAGCACACACAGCATGCGTGATCCAAGACATGGAATCACATGACAAGCCATTTATTTTTCCTTCATTGAATTCATTAAAAACGGCTGATCTTTATGTCCTTTGTACACTATTTTTTATTGATTTTTGTGATCTATGAAGAAAAAAATTGATTTATCCATGACAGGAAATTCATCACAGAGGCATGTAAAATACACATCAGAATATTTCAAATGTTATCCTTTCAATGACTAAAATCAAACCTCTGTTTTAGTAATAATCTGAAATAATCCTGCTATTTTGAATCTGGGAGATCATTCTAACCAGGCAGGATAAGGAGACCCCGTTTATTATGTACTCTCCATGAGACACATACAGATGAGAGCGATTGTCACGGTGCATGCTGGCACGGAGTCAGGAAGGAGGCACAGGAGTCGAGGAGTCGGGTGAACACAGGGTTTATCAGGGGAGACTCTCAGGGGAGGAACGACGCCAATGACCAGACTCGGGAAATGGACTTAAATACACAACAATAACATGGGGATTCCACACGGGGTAGATGAGGGGCATGGCACACAAGAAGATCGGCACGATCGGGGCATGACAGCGAGCTTGGGGGACACAGCATAAGGCCAGCCAGACTGCTGACCCTGGGATTTAAACCAACAACCTTACGATGCCCACTACAGAGTCCAAACCTGCTGAACCACACACTAGCTCAACAAATTTAATTAATACAAATTCTGAGCCAAACTAAGCTTTGTATTCCCTGTTTTCCTTTAGACTTTGATTAAAGGTATAACTTATAGTTACAAACCATTTCATTTTATTCCTACCCATTTATGTTTGTGCTTATTATTGACTATTCATAAACTATGAATTCAACTGAGCGTATAATATGATACGGGAAGTTTTACAATGAAACTTAGAAATATGGGGCTTCCAAATGTAATTACTACTGTTTCCTAGAAAGATAAAATCAGGGTACGTTTTTGACAACCACGTGCCAACACAACGGCCTTATATGAACATTGAAATAACTGCAGGAGTGACTGCTTTTGAGGCTGTAGAAGAACCAAGCAGAAATTGTGTAGTAACCATTCCAAGGCTGAAATTGAATATTGATCATTTAACAATAAGTTAAACTAAATTCTAGCTCCAGATACTCTACACTTCCCACAAAAAATGCAGCTCACATGTGGAAACACACCTGGACATGCATACAGGGTATTCTGTGCTGTCATGTGACATATTTCTGTATTCTTTGTCTTTTCTAGATTCTAGATTTCTAGGTTATGGCTGACAAAACACAGAAGCTTCTCTTCTGGAATCTTCCCAAATAATTCCTAAGCAGACAGATTTGTACTGGTGGAGGGGAGAGCTGCAGGCTGTTCACTTAAACATGGATAAATTACAGTTAAGCAGACAAGTCCTACTGTATCAACAGACATACTTCATTCATCCCCAATGGGGAACCTGCTTTTGTGCTTATCTAATCAGGCTCTCAATGAGACACATACACAGGTGAGAGCAATCCAAGGGGCTCAGCCAGCATGCAGCCCCCCAAAAGCAACCAGAGGATAAAGGCCTTGCTTGGGGACATCATTCTGCCACCCCTGGGCTTCAAATCACCAACCTTCCACTCAAAGGCACAACATCTAAACCCAGTGAGCCACACAGTCTGCCATGGGTGCCATTTTATAGCATTACTGATAGGATCAGATAAAATATTAATTAAGATCCTAAAATCCTGCAACCCTGCACTGGATTAGATGTTGGAAGATGGATGAATGATGGGTTTTTCTATACATATTACTCACTATGTAATATCCTTATATTGTTTAAAAGGGTATATTATCATATATATACCACTGAGTGTGAAGTTATTTGACTGAATCTCTGCAGTAAAAAAATACATATTTAAAACCTTAAGTGGCACATTATAACAAAACCATAATAACATTATAAGTAAACCCTTAATAACACTCAGAAAGATAGTACCAATTTGTACCTTGCTTCTCACTGGAGCTGTACCCTCAACGATCTGCCAATTGTACCCTATAGCTGTAAGTAAATGTACCTTTTAGTCTAATTTAAAGCACAGAAATGGACTCTGAGGAAGATCCCCAAAGGTACAGACAATATTAATGTACACCTACGGCACAAAAATGCTCTTTGTAGTCCATTTCTGTATCTTAAAAGGTACAGCTACCTACAGCTAAGGGTTCAATCGGCAGACCCTTGTTACTCCTTTTTTTGACAGTGTATGAGTACTATATCCCAGAGACAGGTATTCCGACACACCCAGCTGAACACAAGAGTAAATAAATGCGGAAAGCAAAATGTTTACTATTACAGAGAGCCGGCATTCTGGATCATAATACAAAAGTACAGAGAAAATAAAACAAATACTGGCTCATTTTGCTGATGTATACCAAGATCGTGTTGAAAAAAAAGATGGCTAATCATTTTAGAACGATTTTAGGAGCAATTTGGGGGCCATCTTTGTGCTTTGCGATCCATTTCAGAGCCATCACCATCACTCAAGAGATAAGAGTAGCAAGCTAGCCCTTCAGTCCCCTGCCTCATATAAGGATGGAGAAGATGAAGGAAATCCATCAGAATGGTCGGCATGCCCATTTAGAAAGGCATTACGCATACATGTTCCCCCACAATAGAGAGCCATGTCCACGGGGAATGTTCTGAAATTTAAAATCAAGCAGAAACATGTCACAGATCTTCACCCTTACATTGTGGTGAGATTTAATAATTTAATATATTTAATTTTTTTTCGCATTCTTCTAATGTTATTACCTATAAGTTACCAAAGATAGATAATCAGCAGACAGAATAAGCATATTTAAAGTTGCATGTAATTTAGACCCATTCCCTAGCAATCAATGCTTATCTGTCTAAGGTTACAACATCTATATATTTACATTAACTAACGAGGAACAATCCTGTTTAAATATACTGAGGAAATGCCTGCTTACTCCAAAGGCTAGATGGATATTCACTTAGCCAAAAACAAATATGCTGGAAGAGATTCAGGCTTGGAGAGAAGTGACATCAGTGATTATAAATCACTCACAACTGATAACATTGCCTCCAAAAACAGTATATAACACAATAACAGTATATGTTACACTATGCGATGGACAAATAGTAAACAAATAATTCATAATTATTGGTTATCATACTTTATTTAAGCAATTTTATTCCATGCTTTATTCCAGGAGCATGCTTACTTACGGGTATGGAAAATAATATATTAATATACAATAATATATTTCTTGTATTTTTGCATAATATGTGTTTTTGGTGTAAAGCATAAATACAATGGCTATGTTTTATTACAGCATTTTATGTACCTCTGGAACAAATATCTTGTAACAAATCTTAGAAAGTGACCAAAATGCACAGCTCAGTTTAAGCACAATTCTACCTGCTCCTGGTTCAGACCACACATTTGCATATTATTGTTGCATTTATTTCACGGCTCAGTTGGATGCAGTTGTAAATGTTTACAATTTTCTTGACAAATCCTGAACCAAATTGTAGTTTCAGGCTGATTTAAACAGCTTTCTTCCAGAGTTATGCACTGTTTGGTGCAGTGTTGTTCTGCTAGTGCTGTTAATATTATTATTGTGTTTATTACTGCGAAGTGACGCAAACAGTCCCAGTTCTGACCTTAAATGTTGATGGCCCATAACTTTAACTTGAAATCACATTAGAGGAAGACATTTTTACTTGATATCCCCATTTTGAAGCATGACTGGTCCAAACGCCACTTCAGATTCTGGGATACTTAGTGCATCGGTATCATCTACCATAGAACCCTCAATGCCCACTGAGGGGAAAGTTCCAAAGAAAGAGTGCATCTTCTGAGCAAATGGGTCACCAATATTACAGTATTGAAATTTAGGATCTTGGGCAACAGCACTATTTCCACAAGGCTCAACATCCATGACTTTGCTCCTTTGGTAGTATTTAGAGAACTTGTTGAATATGATGGTGATTGGCAGAGCCACCACAAGCAGCCCACAGATGATGCACAGGGAGGCAACCAGTTTCCCTGCTGGCGTCACTGGGCACGCATCACCATAGCCCACAGTTGTCATGGTGATGGTAGCCCACCACCAGGCTACAGGAATAGTGCCCAGCTCTGACTTGTCCTCCTCCCTCTCCACTGAATAGATAAGTACAGAGAAGATGGAAACCCCAACAGAAAGGAAGAGAAGAAGAAGTCCAACCTCATGGTAGCTATGTCTCACGGTGGCCCCCAGGGCACGTAGGCCCACAGAGTGACGGGCCAGCTTCAAGATGCGGAAGACCCTCATCAGTCGCAGCACTTGCACCACCTTGCCAACATTCTCCAGGTTCTCATTCTCCTCCTCATTCCCGTTGCCCGCCATCTCAAATGCCAGCGTTGCATAGAATGGTAAAATTGAGGCAAAGTCAATAACATTCAGGGGATTTCCCAGGAACTTTCTCAAGCATGGGGTAACAGCAAGTCTTATACAAAACTCAGCAGAGAAGCAGACCACACAGGCGATCTCAAGGACGGCCAGAGTCGGGTCTTCGACTGGCCTATTGTTAGAATCTAGGCGCTGGAACTCGGGCATGCTGTGAACACACATGGCGGCAATTGATGTCAGCACGACACTAAGCGAGGCCACCATGATTACTTTTGCAGAGACTGAATGCCCAGGGTCCTCCAGTCGAAGCCAGATTTGGCGCCGGAAGTTTGAGCACCATGTGCCCTCAAACCTTTCCAGATCCTTGTCCATGGCAGACAGCTCCTCAAAGGAGGAATCAAAGCTGGGCTGCTGCTCATCACTTCTTATGTCCCAGTCCCTGTCCTCAATATACTCCTTGCGTTCCTGGTACTGAATACTGCAACAGGGACCTATGTAGAGTTCTTCAATACCCCAATATTCAATCTCCTGGCTAAAAGAGAACACACAGAACTCCTCCATCATGTGGATCTGGCCCGTATGGTAGAAGTTGAGGACACAGTGGAAGACACGAGGGTTCCTGTCAAAGTAGAACTCCTGGTTTGTGGGGCAGTAGTCATCACAGAGCTCCAGGATGGCTTTTTCAGACCGGCAGTCCAGCAGACGACCCAGTCGTGTGTGTGGGAAGCGGAGGAGTGTGTCGTGCTCCATCATATGCCTGAAACCCCCCACGTTCAGATTAATTAGTTTACCCTGCACCCCAAACCTGTGGAGGACCTGTCCATACACCATGGTGGAGCTAATGCTGTAATTTACGTTTTGACCTCTAAAGATGGGGGGTCAAGCTTGGGGTACGGTCCCATGACCTATAAAATCAAAATCAAAATGACTTACATCACAAAACGTGCAATACAATGAACAGAATAAAAACAATCCCACAATTTTATTTAAGTTTACATACATATCAGTTGTCCCGTTACCCCTTATTTAACTACACAAATGCTTATAATAAATAGGATAAATGTGCACAAAATGTATCTGTGCAACGACAGTAGGCACCCTTAAGCTTGGAACTTGTGATTGAAGTACAATAACATCCAGATACATTCAGCAACACTTCCTTGTTTGGCCACTGACTCTTTTGCTTGCTCTCTCTCTCTCTCTCTCTCTCTCTCTCTATTTGCTATTCCTTGCACCCTCTGTGAAAAGGGGAAGCTGTGGAAAATACGTACAAATTTTTCTATTGAAATCAAAATGAAAAAGTAACTTTTCCAAGAATGTGCAAGATCTTTAAATATTCGATTATAAGAAGGACATCAATCTACATATAATGGACGGATCTTTATGGCTCACTGAGGATTGTCGTAAACATTGTAAGAGTCTTTTAAGCAATGTCTATAGGCACGCTCGTGATTACGTATAAACTACCTATGCCTATCTTAATAAAATTAAGTAAAAAAAAAAAAAAAAAGTCATACCTGTACCGGTCGTGAGATACTGCTGCATTTTCGACACCTTCTTTTAAGAGCTGAAACACGCTGGCAGCGCCGTGCTGTGCAGTTTAGCGAAGTAAAGCATCGCTCCGGAGTGGGCTGATAAATATCCTACCGAGGGTGCACAAGCGTCCCGGCTGATGAAAAGTGGACTGGCTGGGGTGTGCGTTTAAAAAGCCGACTAGACTGTCACAAACAGAATGGTTGGAAGATGAACTGGATGGATGAATTTCACACATTACATATTCTATTAGAAATAATTAGCATAGCAATATTGGTTTACTTGCAACGTTAATGTTGCCTTAATGAACTTAGGCTATGTAAATGAATGGATCAGATAACGTGTAATTACAAAGAAATTTCAAAATCAAGTGTGACATATACTTATATAGACACGTATATAAAGAGAAACTGCATGGACACCAAAATAAAAAAACAAGAATAATTTTTTCTTCTCTCCTCTAAAATAATTATTGAAAATATCATAAATTAACAGGTAAAAGATATATATATATATATATATATATATATATTCGAATCTGTTTTCATCAAGTGACAAGTTAATTACATTCGGTTGTGTATTGTATGTATGTTAAAGTGTTATTTTTTTCACTAACACAAGACTTTTTAAAATGAGAGATTACACCACTAATACTTTCAATTTTTCCAAACGATAATTTTTAAGTAGGAAATGCATAGTTACAAACCATTTAGGAAAGGGACGGGGAGCATACAATTCACAAAATACCCACATTACTAATTAACTAACCCGAGCCGTCTACCTGAATAAGGGGATCGGAAATTTGATGAATTTACTGATAGGCTGATAATTTAATCATTACACAGAGGCTGCAAACCCTCAAGTTTATAGCAGGAGTCGAGGGGCGGTTGGTTAGTGCTGCCGTTTGTTTGCGGTAGTTTGCTGATTTCTGAGCTGCAGTTCAAGGCAGCCTTACTGGGATTAAAAATGGCGCGTCGTGTTGGCTTTGGGTAATGGTTTTATTGAAGTTATTTGTAAATTAAGCCTATTTTTGTTTTGCATGTTCACCCGCGTTAGCAGTTTTTTTTAAAAAAATTTGTCTCCCTTTACAGAACGTTATGGCTTTTGATGTTGGCTGTGGGGATAGAAGCAAAAAATGGTTATGCTCCAGGTAGGCAGGTGGTGCAACCTATAGCACAGGGCTGCTAACTGGTCTGCTAGCCGGAGTGAGACTTGTCCCGAACTAAAAATCTCACTTGTGACGTTCAGCAACACGTTTAACTGTTTTCATACCTTGTAAATGGTGTGTAGGATTAGCAAACAACTCAAATGCGCTAATTCTTAGCTTAAAATGGAATAATATAGATTTGGCATGAGATTTCTTGTGTGAGCGCAAGAAAATTAAGGCTGCTGGTATGTGTATCTCACCAGATGCATGACATTTGGCAACCCTTGTAGTAAAACTGGACAAGGTGTTGATAACCGTTTGTAAATCTGCTGATCTTGCTGCCAGGTAGCGGTATTGTGGCTGAGTGCCTTGGCAACATAATGCGGTTGATGGTGGACGGTAATTTTCTGCAGGGGAGAAGCTTGGAAGTGGATGCTGTCTGTAAGTCCCAGAGATCATAACCATTAAATGGTGAAATATGGCCTGGTTGCTGAATGTGTCTGTTGATTGCAGATGGTACAGATGTGGTACCCATAACCTCCAATCTGGCATCACAGTGTGGCTACAGCAGGAAGTCTGACCCCTGGGGAAACGTCAGGCTCTTTGCTTCCTTGCAGAACTGCTTTTCTTATCCTCTGGTAACTTGCTGTCTCACTGCTGATCGTCATCTATGGTGATAAGCATGGTAACTGTGTGCTTCTGCATCTTCATCCAGAATGATGACAACTTCAACACAACTGTCAGGCTTAGGCTAACTGGCACCACTGCTTCAGAAGATGCTGTACAAATAGTCTCTAAAATGTGCAAGCGTAGCCTGTGGGCTTTCCGAGAGATCCTCTGTGACAGGAACTACATGGAGGTGTGTAGGGTGTGACCGTGGCTGCTGTAACTGATGGCCTGAACTGTGTGAACTCTTTCTGAAGTGCTTTTTTTTTTTTTTTTTTTTGTGGGTTCTTAGGTGTCTGTTGGAAGAAAGCTTCTGGACATTGCTGTGAAATTGCCTTTGGGTCAGAAAGCCCCTCCTAAAGGTTCTGGTAGTGTGGTTCCAGAGGTACTGATTTAACTTTGGTCTTCGTGTGGATCTGGAGGTGGTGATGAGACTAAATGGTGTGGGTTTTTTTTTTTCCTCCCCTACCCCTAGCAACCTGTTGTGTCTGAGTACACAATGTGGAAAGTGCTCTTCTATATGCCTAGAGGGGAGAAGACCTTAACTGTGGAAGAGGCCTTCAAGCAGGGCTATGGCCTGGAGAGTTCACCTAATCGTTTAGTGCTTAGAGGATCCCAAAACTCTTCTGAGGCTTATCTGACAGATGTGAGCAGCCCATACATTATGATTTTGGTAGTATTTCATGGGGAAAATTCTTATTTTTTTTGGGGGGGGGTGTGGTGTTAACCTCAGGTGGATGGAGTACCCATGTATGTGCTGAAAACGTCAACGTTCTTCAGGCAGAAATGGATGGTGACACTGGTTGATGCTGCAGTAGCCTGTCCTGCAGGTGAGTGACTTACCTTTTTTTTTTTTTTAAAGTGCCATCTGTTGCTGTCAAGAACTAAAGCTCCTGCTGTGTTTTAGGTGGTGTTTCATTCACAGAGGATCTGATCACTTGGATGCTGCCTCGTATTATCTCCCCACTGCTCACCTCTGCTGCATTCACACTCTTGGAAGTTCATATGGGCATTGATGGGGAGCAATTGGATGGCATAACCATGGCATCCAGAGGCTATGTGTTAACTGTAACGGATCTGTACATCACTGTTCAGATTCCTGTGGGTTCACAGGATGGTTACTACAAGGTTTGTCTAAGCCACCTAGCTAGTTTTGATAAGTGGTGGGGATGGGGTACACTTCCTGGCATGATGCAAGCTGTTTGACTAGAGCTTGTTACTACAGAGTTATGCTCCAGGGTACCAGTATCACATTGCCTTCACTGTTGAGCCTATGCTTGAGCTGCTGTGGCATGAGGAAGATCTGCATACTGACACAAGATACAAAGTCCTGTATCCCATTACAACCCCTCTCAGGCCCATGCCACCACATCTCATTGACAGTGAGTATGCAGTGAGCTGAATATAGCAACTGACTCAACACCACTGTGACAAATGTTTTCTGCCTTCAGACACTATCCCACAGAAGAGGATGTTTGAAGTAGTGTTGGGCATTTTCCTTCCTGATGTTCAGCTGGTGAACATCACACTTGGTTCACTGCTGCTGTCTGTGGCTGAAGCCAATGCCCAAGGCTTCGCTGTTCAAGAGAACACTTTTCCCAATGGGTCAAAGACCTTCTCATTACAAGTGCCATTCTCTGATCCTGTAGTCTTGAAAGATGTACGTAAGTCTGATGCGCTGTCCCATACTTTTGGCTAACCTGTTCCAGTCAACATGTGGTCAGGCAGACAGTACTATAGAATCAGTGACTGGTTATACTTGGTGATAAGTTGTGTTCCTGCAGACAACAGAGCTGCAAGTAAAGATCTTCATACTGCCTCTAGTCTTTGGGTTGCTCATCCTCCCTGAGCTTGCCCCATTCAGTCACCCTGCTGTCCTAGAAGCATCCCTGCAAGACATAAGTAAGAAATGAATGGCTGTAATTGTGATGGATATCCTGTTAATATAGGTGGTAACTTGGTATTCTCCCTCTAGTTCTGCCTACTGCAACTGGCACTTGTGATCAAGAGAACTTCTATGTCACTGTCACACTTGGCAGCATGGGACCTAATATGTTGACCATGATAGGAAAAACAATTTTGACGACTGAGATTGCCAGTGGTTATGGATACGAGGCTAATGGTACACACTTCAGTATTGCTGTGCCTTTCAGGGCAGTGGATGCCATCTATGAGGTAATGTGCATTCCTCATGGGCTTGTTCTAATTTGGCTGGTCCTAAATGATCTCCCTAACCCTTAGCTGGTTGAGCCATTCTCCTTGAGGAGCAGGCTGGACATGACTTTTTCGGATCCAGTCAACAATACAAACTACAATGAGTTCTCCATATCCTGTGGCTTTCCTGTGACCATGGCAGGTATGATGCATATTCCCCTTCTGGCAATGGACTAAATTACTTGAGCTAAACATCAGTCTTGTTACAGAATGTTTCCCCAATGGCACAATGACTGTGCTGGCCATAAAAGTGGAGTCTGTACCCCAACTGAATCCCATGTATCTGACTCTGAGGGATCCCAGCTGTAAACCTGTGTTCTACAATGATAGAGTTGCCTACTTCTCATTTGGGGTGAATACCTGTGGAACAAGAAGAAAGGTACCTTTCAACCTCCCCCACCCCTAATGGTTCCCAGCCTTTGCATTTCTTGGGTAACCCTACTTTTACCTGTTGCAGTTCTCAAAGAACCTCATGATTTATGAGAATGTGGTGACTCTACCAATGATGCAGTCTCTGTCAAATGCCTCCATAAAGACTAGTCTGAAACCATTGTACAGGTAAGGGCTACTTTTTTTCCTTAATCTGTGGAAGAGGTCAGTATTGAACTAACAGCCTGCTTTTGTAGGCTACAGGCATCTTGTCACTATGTGATCAATACCACCCAGATGATGGCTTTCAACACCAGGGCCCAGCTGAATGTGCCCCTTGCAGCAACTGGAATAGGAAAGCTGTCTGTCAGAATGAGGCTTTCACTGGGTAAGTGGAGTAGCAAGATTAAAGAATGGTGCCTGTACTGACAACTAATGTGTCCTCCTGTTCTAGATGGATCATATACTGCCTTCTACCAGGATACTGACTACCCAGTTGTAAAGTACTTGCAGCAGCCCCTATACTTTGAGGTGGAACTTATGCAGTCAACTGACCCATTGGTAGAATTGTTCTTGGAGAACTGCTGGGCAACTATGGATGACCAGACCTTCCCAAAGTGGGATCTAATTGTAGACAGGTAAACAAACCTGACAAGTTGGTATGTGACTGAGAAATGGCTGCCAACTTGTACCCTTCTCCCTAGCTGTGAGAATCCTGGGGACAGTTATCCTACGCTGTTCCACCCTGTGTCCGCTGATGCCCGGGTGATGCTCCCCAGCCACTTCAAGCGCTTTGAGATGGCCATGTTCTCATTCACTGCTAATGGCACAGCAGTAAAGGAGAAGGTGACCTATGACCAAGTTTCTGGCTAAGCATAGAAGCTGCTTGTACTGTTCTAACACCCCCTTTTTCTCCTAGGTCATTGTGCATTGTGATATCATCCTCTGTGATGCCAGTGGCCCCCAGGATAGCCTTTGCAACAAGCAATGTATGAACAAGCAGCGCATAAGCAGACTGGGAACAAGCATGCTGAAAAGGGGTACAGTTCACATTAATCCTAGGACTTTGCTTGAATCGAGCTATTTTCTAAACTTTTTTTTCTCCCCCCCCCCCCCCCCCCATCCTGTTGCAGTGCATAGAAGCGTAACACACAAGGGCCCTGTCAAAAGGCGTGTGTCATCAGGCCCAGTTATGCTGGGTTAAAAGCAGCTTTGGCTGCAGCAGCTGATGTGACTTTGAAATAAAGCTTCTTGGATCTATTTTGGTGTGATCATTGTATGTGACAACATAGCTAAAACTCCCAATAACCAGAACTGCATTTTCATTAGATATGCACCTGGATGTTATGACTTGCTCCACCAAGGGGAGCAGCTGAGTTTGCCCATGACTAGATGGGGGCAGGCTCACCTGCCCCATCAGAATTCTCTTGTGCAAGCGATACCTATGGTTATTTGCATGGCAAACAAGGCTTTCAATAGTGTGACTGTGCAGTAAGTCAAATTTCCTGTGGCCCTCCTAGCAGTACCAGACAGTATAATCTCTAGCTGAGGGCTCTTTATCACTTGTGGATGACTTAACAGCATTTGCTCACCTTGTGTGATGCCTTAAGTAAAGCCAACTGATCAAGCAACCTCACCAGAAAAACTGGCTGTAGTAATGCCCATGCAGATGACAGTTGTTGCTTTTGCTTTAATAGTTGGTCTACTTTTGCTATGTGCAAGAATTTTCCCTTAATGCTGAAGTGCTTCTAGAATTGATAATCTTCCAGAATAAGCCTCAAATATTTGAGGTTTTAATTCCAGATATTACTCTTTCCACCATGAATCTGAGTTTGTGAAAGATGCCAAGGTAGTATACAGAATACATCCATTTTCTATACCACTTGAGTAGTGGCTCACAGGGTTGGGGGTTTATTCTAGGTGACACAGGGCATAATTAAGCAATCAGTGGTAATTTGATCATCTTTGAACTATAGGAGAACCTGTACAAATACAAGAAAAGTGGAAAATTACACAGGAAATGGTTTTTATTTTTAATAGGCCTTACAGAATAGTGTTTTGAAAATTGGAAAAGATTCACTTTTAAACATTTGAATGTGTGAACCAGAGTCCACAAACCATGAAGTGGGGGGCCTACAGTGTTAGCCACTGAGATGCCCTGGAGCATAGACTACATACAAATTAAAAATACAAGAATAGGTTTGTGCTAATTTTAAACCCTCCCAGAATTAAGCTGTACTTCTCAGAACATAGTGATTTTTTACACGATGTCCAATGGCATGGACATTTTAAACTAAGGCACAAGCAGCAATAGTAAAATACCAATTTTTAAAAATTGCCCATAATTTCCATTGTAACATTTTTAACTACAGTCAAATTCCCCAATTGTCTGTTGTCAATAGCCTCTTTTAATCTTTTCTTCCCAGTCAATTATTGCTTGTTTTAAACTCAGTTTGGCATCTTCAAAATTACAGTTCAGTTCCAGTGCCTTCCTGAAGTCTCTTTCTGCCTCTTCAAAAAAACCTTGAAAAGAAAAAACACGCATTTAAATTTAATTTAAACGACATCACTGTTTTAAAGTGTGTACTTTACTACATTGTCAGGAGGGTTGTATTTTGCTATGGTTAATTATAGGTATTTGTTAAAAATTGATTAATTTCTCGAGTCAACGGCACCATCTAGTGGTGACGTAGGCAAAATTAAACTATGGTGGATCAACATTTCATTTGACTTTACACAATTACATTAACAAACCTGGACAAAACAACTTCATTGGAGATTTAAATTATGATTTTATAATTTATAATTACTGTATATCATTGGACTTAGACTACTATACAGTGTGGCATTTCTGACAAGCACGGGAATTATCAGGGATATTACTAGTACATGTAAATCCCTAGTTCGGTGCAGCAATGGAATGAATTTGGTAAATAAATTACAAAAAAAATTTATCAAAAAGAGCTACCCAGTCTGTATTGTATGAGTCCTCTGTTGTAGAAGGGTACCTCGAAAAGGCCGTTTGCCTCTATCGCGGAGCTGTAGTCTTCCATTGCTTCATAAAAGTCAACCCTCAAGTATTTAATCTGACCGCGGTTGTTTAAAGCGACAGCAAGTTTATTCGCATCATGTTTTCTAAAATAAATGAAGAAACAAATAGTACAAATTAAGTGTTTTAAAGGGGAAAATCGGCATCGGAGGTTTGTCTTACTAGGTGTCTTAGAGTTACCTCGCTTGCCTACACGATGCAATGTATTTCGTATATAAATATTCTGCTTTATTAAAGTTTTGCTTGTTGAACTCCTCGTCTGCTTCTTCGAGAACAGACAAACTGTAGTTTTCCATTTAAGAACCTTAAAAATCCCAGATCGCTTCGATGGTTTCCTCCGTACCGGTGACAAGCGCAGTCACGCGGCATGCATTCACTAATTCACTTATTTTTGCGAAGGACAGAAGCAGATTCGTCAGGTTTGGAGAGCCAATAAAAAAAATAATAATCGAAACTCTTACGGAAAATATACTCTTCAAGTATATTTTCTAAATATCCTGAAGTATATGCATGGGCCGTTCTGAATATTTGTTATTTTATTTCACTTTTCCAAAATTAACGAATCTGCCATCACCATACGTGCAAGAATGTACGAATATGTAAACACTGGCGCGTGAGCGCACGCCGTTGTCACCAGTTAACAAGATCACCACATAAACCATAACACCGGAAATGATGACGCACAGACATGCATTCCCAGGGTTGCCAACTCCCTCAAATCTGGTGTGACACTCACACTTTCACACTCACGCAAGAAATCTTACGGCAAATATATATAATTCCTTCATAAATCTAAAATTAGCTACATTAAAAGCACTGGGGTAGTCTGCATACCCTAAATACCGTTTACAAGGTAATAAAACTGTTACATGTACATGTAAATATGTGTGCAGACTTGTATCGAAATGAAAATCTCACACCAGCCAGCTGACCAAAGTTGGCAACCCTGTATTCCCCAGTGAGGTTCACTGCTTGAGGGTAATATTTGTGTAATGTCTACCCATTCACATTATAAAATTAAATGTGTAATCAATTACATCATGGCATGTATTCAATACCACTCTCAATTACACATTTGTTGTCCACAATCACTTATCTACTGAAGGCTGGATGCTATCCCAGGAGCCCAGAGCATGAAGAAGAGTATATACTGGATGGAATTCTATTCTAGGGCAATTTTAAGTCACTAGTATAAGTCTCTAGTGTTTACCACTGAGCCACTGTGCTGCTGTCTTTATTCAGGGTAAAATATTAATCCTAACAACAGATATGATGGATGTGTTGTTTTTGTTTATAGTGATGGGGTCAGACCACTTGCACCCAGTTAATTTGTGCCGGAGCTCAGTCCAGCAAAAATCTCCAGCCCAAGGTCTGCTTAAAATCCATCCAATGGAAGCTGAAACTAGCCCAATGTCTGAAATGCCAGTATACCCCATCTCAAAGAAATAAACCAGTTTTTTTTTGCATGCTGATAATAGTCATGCTTAATGCATAATGGTGTTAACATTAAAAGGAGTGAATGACTTGTAATTGACTGAATTTTGCTGTTCTTTTGTCCATGTCTCTCCTCATTGGCTGTTATATACATGCAAGCACCAACATTCACACAGTTATCCTACACTGTGATGCAGGTCATAAAAACTTTACCCAGGGCATAACATTTAAAATATACACTTACAGGATGCATATTATCACTCACTTTGTGTTTTTGTTCAGTGTCTCCTTTCTTGTGCCTGGTTTCTTTCCATCCCAAGATTATTCAAAATTTCACGTTACATTAACTATTTATAGGCTTTCCGGTCTGCCTTTTCCATCTCTTATCTGCAATGTATCACAGACAAACACACATTAAATTCTGCCTGCCATTTTCTGCCCTGTTGTCTTCCATCATGACTTTACAAACATTTTTCATTGAAAACTCTACAAGCATCATTACTGAGCAGTCTCCTTCTGACCGCTTTGATCAACAACTATACAGTAGAGATCGAAAGTTTGGGCACCCCAAGTAAAAATGTGCATAAAGAAGTGCATTAATGTGCATAAAGAAGCCAAGGAAAGATGGAAACATCCCCAAAAGCCATCAAAATGCAGATGAGACATTCTGATAATATGTCAAAAAAAAGTTGGATTTTATTTTCATCATTTACACTTTCAAAATAACAGAAAACCAAATAATGGTGTCTGCAAAAGTTTGGGCACCCTGCAGAGTTAATACCTTGTACTGCCCCCTTTGGCAAGCTGAGACCTGACAGTGTCAGGGACTGTTCACAATCATTGTGTGGAAAGACCAGGTGTTGTCAATCTCAAAGGTTTTAAATGCCCAGACTCATCTGGCCTTGCTCCAACAATCAGCACCATGGGTTCTTCAAAGCAGTTGTCTAGAACACTGAAACTGAAAATAGTTGACGCTCACAAAGTAGGAGAAGGCTATAAGAAGATAGCAAAGCGTTTCCAAATGTCAATATCTTCTGTTCGGAATGTAATTAAGAAATGGCAGTCATCAGGAACAGTGGAAGTTAAAGCAAGAACTGGAAGACCAAGAAAAATATCAGACAGAACAGCTCGCAGGATTGTGAGAAAAGCAAATCAAGAACCACGTCTGACTGCACGATCCCTCCAGAAAGATCTGGCAGACACTGGAGTTGTGGTACACCACTCCACTATAAAGAGATACTTGTACAAATATGGTCTTCATGAAAGAGTCATCCAAAGAAAACCTCTTCTACGTCCACACCACAAAAATCAGCGTTTGAAGTTCGCAAAAGAACATATAGACAAGCCCGACGCATTTTGGAAACAAGTTCTGTGGACCGATGAGGTTAAAATTGAACTTTTTGGCCAGAATGAGCAAAGGTATGTTTGGAGAAAAAAGGGCACAGAGTTTCATGAAAAGCACCTCTGTCCAACTGTTAAGCATGGGGGTGGATCAATCATGCTTTGGGGTTGTATTGCAGCCAGTGGCACAGGGAACATTTCACGAATAGAAGGAAAAATGGATTCAATAAAATTTCAGCAAATTTTGGACGCCAACTTGATGCCATCTGTGAAAAAGCTGAAGTTAAAGAGAGGATGGCTTCTACAAATGGATAATGATCCGAAACACACCTCAAAATCAACGATGGATTACATGAAGAGGCGTAAACTGAAAGTTTTGCCATGGCCTTCACAATCTCCTGACCTTAACATAATTGAAAATCTATGGATAGACCTTAAAAGAGCAGTGTGTAACAGGCAGCCCAGAAATCTCAAACAACTGGAAGACTTTTGTAAGGAAGAATGGGCAAAGGTACCTCAAACAAGAATTGAAAGACTCTTGGCTGGCTTCAAAAAGCGTTTACAAGCTGTAATACTTTCCAAAGGGGGCAGTACAAGGTATTAACTCTGCAGGGTGCCCAAACTTTTGCAGACACCATTATTTGTTTTTCTGTTATTTTGAAAGTGTAAGTGATGAAAATAAAATCCAACTTTTTTTGACATATTATAAGAATGTCTCATCTGCATTTTGATGGCTTTTGGGGATGTTTCCATCTTTCCTTGGCTTCTTTATGCACATTAATACACATTTTTACTTGGGGTGCCCAAACTTTCGATCTCCACTATATACAGTCTTAATGCTTTCTTCTTTTATAGACCAGTGCTGTCTTCCTCATCTGGACTTGAGTAGATATCTGCAGTGAAGAGAGTGAGCATCCTTGCAGATGCTGTGAATTTATGGCAGCCGATTCCGTTCCTCTGCATGTAAGCACGGATCCTCATTATATTTAAGAGATGTCTGCTCCACTTTGTTCTCTTTATGAGAGACATTTGGGAAAATGACCACTCAACAGCAGCATTACTGAACGGCAAAGCAAGAAGAGGACGGGTAAAGGTGCCAATTTCCTCAAAACCCCTGTCACCTGTAGCATCTGAGTGCACTGCAATTTCTATTCTGAAGTCCTCAGTTTTGCTGGCTTTCTTATTTTTCCAGTTCACAGTATGCAGGATTCTCCACTGTTACTCTGCCTTTCCTCCTTTGAAAAGATAAAATAAAGTAAGATCATCTATTTATGCCTTTGCATAGCTTGCTAACAGAAATTTGAGCGCCTATAGCTGTTTCATGTTGTCTGGAAGCCTCTTTCTGATTTCTCTGACCAACATGAGTATGTAGTTCCTACTCCGGCCTTACACATCCAGCAGCATTTGGCCATCTCTCCCCCCTGAGATGGGGTAGCATGGTGGTGCAGTGGTTTGCAGTGTTGCCTCACATGTATGGGACCAGGGTTTGAGTCTCCACCATGTGTGTGGAGTTTGCATGTTGTCATCATGGGATTTCCTTTTTGCACTCTGGTTTCCCCCCACAGTCCAAAAACATGCTGTGGTTAGTGTTGCTTATCTGTTAAAGCGTTACTTATTTGTTAAATCTCAACTAAAGACCTATTACTTCAGTTTAGCTTCCATGCAACTTAACACATAACACATCGTAACCATGGCTGCCGGTGCTGCTGTACCTGGCATTTTTATCTTCTATGTTTGTCCATTAATGTGTCTGTGCATGTTCTGACCACCCATGTGACTTACGAACCGTAAAATCGAACTGACTCATTGATGGACTTTGGTTTTGACCTTGATCATAGTTTTAAGCCTTGCTTTTAACAAGGAAGCCCACTCTTTTTTCTTTATTTTCGATAATGTTAGCATGCCTGGGGGACAGCCAGTTGAACTTGGACCCTCAAAAGTTTTTTTTTCCCTACTTGGGAGAAAATGGGGTGATCTGTGCTGGACAAATGGGAACATAACAGGCCCCGACACATATAAAGTTGTCTTTTGGTGAGAACAGTTAAAAACCAAGCATGCAACAGATCTGTCACAAAATCATGCTGCATTTTTGTTCTGTATACTGTACTTGATTATTTTCATAAATACAATGCTTATAAAAGGTTTGGAATTTGTCTTTTTGACGCTGATCAACAGAAAAGAAATTCTTCAATGTCAAAGCAAATCTGTAACACAAAATAATAGATTGCGTAAGTTTTCCTGTACTGTCAGCCTTACACTAGAGCTGGGGGTGGAATCGACCCGGAGCAACACTCTGTTTCACTCTATCCAGCCTAAAACCTGCAGAGTGAGACAAAACAGGTGGCTGATGGTACAGAGCAGACTTGACATGGGCCTCATCACACATTGCACATGTGTGTGATGTGTACATGAAATAGCTTCCTTGAAATATTCCACCGATTGCACTACCTTCATGAACCATCCCCAAGTGTCACAAAGGTTTTTTTTTTTCCTCCATCCCATGTTAGCTGTTCGTCTGGAAAAAGACTGGCCTTTTTCATGGATTCCAAATATCTAAGTGTGCTGTGAGAAATGCCATAGGAAGCCCAGACCGAGGCTCAGAAAAGACTTCAGTGATCCTACCTCCCACAACTATAGGGCTGTGTATTTCCATCATTCATGCAGTGAGGAGATACAGGGTTAATGATTGCTGTACTGAAACTGGGTCACTGGCTTTAGCATTAGTGAAGTTATACACATAGATTAACTGCATCTGTCTGCTAGGGAATGGGAAGGTGAATGTAGCATTACTTTACGTTGGATAGTAAAACTGGGTCTTGGGCCAGTCATTTTTATTTATGTTGAGAATTTTTTTCACTTGCATAACATCTAGTCAGACATTTGTCATATACCAGGTAATTGACTCAGCTCATTGGGAATTACATTTTGTTACAAAAACCAAAGCAAAAGGAGGCTGGTTCCAGACAGTGTATCATCAACCCAGACATATTTCATGTGGGTCACATGACCGGCATTATACTAAGAGAATAAATGGCAGACACACAAAATTAATGCACACATGCCTGACTTTAAAAGTCTGGATTGCAAACGTTGTCAGTGTCATGTTTATGAAGTCACTATTATTAATACAGTACATCATAAACTTCCATTTAATGTTATTTCTGACTGATTCACGGTCTGTCCACCACCCTATGACTTTGGCTTGTCTGCTAACTGTTAATTAGACCACTGTGTCTTAAGAGGAGAGGTTAGCTGAGCTGAATCTGTTTAGCCTCGAGCAAAGAAGACTAAGGGGGGACATGATCCAGGTATATAAGATTCTAACAGGTCTGGATGCTGTTCAGCCAAATGGCTACTTCAATATTAGTTTAAATACTGGAACTCATGGCCATAAGTGGAAATTAGCAAGAGAATATTTTAAACTGAATTTGAGGAAGCACTTCTTTACTCAGCGTGTAGTTAGAGTATGGAATAGTCTTCCTGCTAGTGTAGCGGAAGCTAAAACCCTGGGTTCCATTAAATCAGAGCTAGATAAGATTTTAACAACTCTGAGCTATTAGTTAAGATCTCCCCAAATGAGCTTGATGGGCCGAATGGCCCCCTCTCGTTTGTAAATTTCTTATGTTCTTATGTCACACAGTCACAGTCCTTTTGCACGGGCTGGATGGGATATATCTCAGAAACAGCATCAATCTTTATCCTGCACTTGTAATTTCACAGGCTTCATCCAGACAGTCATGCTGTGTGAGCTTAGTTATAGAAATACCTTTATAGTGGAAAGATATTCCTTCTGTCTCTGTGCTATAAGTCCATGAATAGTCCCACTGTTGCCTGACTGAGACAGTGAACCTATTCACAGAATTATATGGCAAATAGTGCCTCTGTACGTTTACCTTGCATGGAACTGCATCGTGAAATGTGTCCTCACAAGACGAAGAGGATGAGGCTGTTTCTGTGTGGGGGATCCACAATGCGGAGACCTGGCAGTATCAGGGGAACCAACTCTCACGTTTCTGGTGTGGGGGATCCACAATGCGGAGACCTGGCAGTATCAGGGGAACCAACTCTCACGTTTCTGGTGTGACACTCATGCTTTCAGACTCTTACATTCACGCAAGAAATCTTAAGGCAAATCTATATTATTCCATTATAAACCTATAATTAGCTACACCAAAAGTGCTGGGGTAGTTTGCGAACCCTACAGAATATCCATCCATCCATTTGCTAAACCGCTTATCCTACTGGGTCACAGGGAGACCCTACAGAATATTTACAAGGTAATAAACTCGTAGTTACATACAGTATAAGCAGACTTGTCTCAAATTGAAAATCTCATGCCAGCCAGCTGACCAAAATTGGCAACCCTGCAGTATGGTTGTTTTTTCTCATGTTAGTAAGTCAGATACAGTACTTATATGTAAATTTGCTCTCCTTTAAAAAAATTCTTTTAAATGTTGTCAGCAACATTAGCTGCAGTGTCTTCAAAACCTCTAGCTCTCACACATGGCTTCATTAGCAAGCTAACTACTGGGCTAGGCTAGTAACAAAATCACTAAACTTGAGGATTAGACAAACCATAAAACTCAATGATAATAACATTGTTTATAATATTTACCAATGGCAAAAGATGGCAAACAAAACAATTAACAGTTACTCTGTGTTTCAGTGAAATGCTTCTGTGGTCCTGCTTGTGACAGAATGAAGGAAAGCTGTGGGCCAACACCATGTGAAACTCATGAGAATTAATGATATTGGTAGTTAGTCCCAACTCCTGTAGAGAAGCTTGGCTTCCAGGTGGATCTAAAATATCTGATTGCAAGTCAATGTCTCCAATGATCATTTCCTAAGCAAGACTATGAATGAAGCTCCCTTATGTGCCCATGAAGCACAGCAGGCAAGGGGCTCAGAAAACTCTCGGGAAATGATCAGTGCTATAGTTTAAGATAGTAAGATAGATTGAACTTTTCAAAAAATGAAAAAAATTCATTTACATTGATACAGTGATTAAATCACTTCTTTTGGAAATTGTATGGGGGAAGCCAAGCTTTCTGTGTCGTCTTAGAGCAGGGGCTTGTGGGTCATAGAGTGAGTGAGTGAAGAATTAAAAGCAAGCTGCCTTTTAATGTTAATGAGGGGGATGCCATGCGGGATATGGCTGTACAGGTGAGCAGCTTAGTGTAAGACTGGGCCTGAAATTAGTGTCACCAGTTTTTTTTTTTTTTTTTTCACCAGTTGTCACCAGTTTGAGTTGACAAAGTGATTTCACTGTCGGGCCCCTGACCAAGGCTTTTAAACCCCAGTTTCTTCAAGGACTGGCTGACCTTGCTTTCTGAAAAAAAGAAAAAATAGTATGTTGCATTGGCTAAAAGCGTCTGTTAAGTAAATTAAAAGGAACGTTCCAGATACTATCAGGTGATTACAATCAGTTAGCAAAGGCTATTGTCCGAAGAAACATACAAGTGAGGAACATGGAGCTAGACCAGACGGGACCTTGCTCAAGGGCCCACTAGTGATATTCCTGTTGGTGGACACAGGCTTTGAACCCACAGCTTTCTGGATATACTGTAGGAACAGAAGCCTAACTCACTGCACTTCCGATCATCCTACAACAAACTATAGTTATTTGGGTCAGCCACACTGCATTCTCATACACTTTTTTGAGCTATGTTGCACATCTTTTCTTTTTTCTTTTTCTTTTTCTTTTCTTCTTTTTTGCTGTACCTTGTTTATTATGTGTTTGTTATATTATTTTTTTCTGTTTTATTCTTTTATTGCTATTCCTTTTTAATTATGGCGGAGGTGATCACTTTAATTTCTTTGCTGGTTATTGTCTGACTGTATACCTTGCATGTGACAAATAAAAATCATTGAGTCCTGTATAACACTGAGCTATTTTCTGTTTTGTCAACCTCATGTCCAAATCCTGAATGCCAACCCCACACTTCATAGTAGTCATGACATATTGCCCTTTGGTCTTCCCGTGTGCTTCCCCTTATCCCAAGTTCCTTGAGTCAAACACATCCCCACTCCCAAATCTGGTAAAATCAGCACGCATCCCTGTGGTTCTGATCCTGTTCCAGAGAAAGTCGTAATTTCACATTTCACTCCTATATGAAATTTTTGGAAACATTACAACTGTCACATATTGCTCATTTATAACTTTGAGGATTCAAAAAATGGTCTAATTTCAATAATTTCCTGATTTATAAACCATTGCAGCTAATGGGCCATCAAGCCAGCACTCTGCACACATTTATTAGCGTTCGTGAATGAGCACAAATTCACTGTTTCCAAGAAAGAACATCTGTAAAGTATGGAAAGACATTATTTTGTGCATTTTTCAATTTATTTTAAAGCATACATGGTACATTCCAGAAAATGAAGTTCATTCCAGTATTTTTGCTGTAAATAGACATTACTGAGTTATACACCACATCATGGGCAAAAGTTTATCCTCAATGCTCTATTTTCACATATTATATTGACACATATCTACATATATAAATATACTATATATTTTTCTACTTATTACATTGTACATTGAATTATTCTGCTGATCACCTTTCATCTGCTGCCATCTGTGGTTTCTAAATGCAAATCGATATTCTCACCTTTAAGAGCTTAGTACAGACATCGTGGTCCGCCGTCAAAGGAATTTACAGTTGGTGCCATTCGCAGCCTAACAGATACAGTAGGAACTGGATCAAATGGACTGTGTGTCCATTTTGAGTTCAGGATGTCTTCTGACCTTCCTCTCTCTGGTGTAATAAGCTCCGAACTGCAAGTCACACTGATTAGTGGAAGGATGCATCAGATGGTGCCCAGAGGAACTTTGTTTTCATTGTCCATGGGCGGAGGATGCTGTGCTTGGCTTTCCCTACATGCGGCCCCCTGCAGTACGCTCCAAGCGTTGCACCCGGCGTGTTATGTCATCCAGTAAAACAGACAGTCAAAGAAATTTCATACACCAAGTCATCATAGCTAGGTAGCTAAGGGACAGATATATAATGTACTTTTTATATTTTTTTGTCCAACATCCGTGTAATATACAGTATTACACTAGTGACCGAAATTACGGAAACGCCTAGCATTTTTGGTATTACGCTTTAAAAATTAGTTTCAGAAGGATATGTCTTGCCGTAAGTGCCAGGAAGGATTCTTGCGTCTGCTTCTGGAACGCTAGCCGGGCCTCGCACTTACACGGATCCACTGTCACAAGAGCTTTCACCTCTCTGGTTTCTACCAGCCAGAGCGGTAAAACAGGATTCATTAGCATCGGGATCTCAGTCTCACAGTATCACAGCTGTCTACTGCAGCCCATGCACACTAATCTTGCCGTGATGACTGCAGTGAACGGACCGGTCACATCACTACTGTTCACATCATATTTGTCCAAAACCTGATAGGAGATACATGGTAAATGAAATAAGATCATGGTTATTTCATGATGGTGGTTGGTTGCCATACCATGACCATCTGTTTGGAGTAGGGATGCCCCATAAGGCCATGGAATGCTTGAAGAGGGGTAAGTTAATTTCCAAAAAAAAGCTGTGTATTTTCAAGCGAAGCCCCTTTTTTCATGACCCTATTCAAATCGCATCTGCGAACAATGAAAATAATGGAGACAGTTAAACTTATTACTTGCACAATGTAAACTGGTCCACAGCCATTGTATGGTCGGGAACCACTAGCTTAGAGTGTCCAGTTGTGAGGTGCTTTGGGTTGGGAACCATTAACTCAGAATACTGATTTTTGGGGTGCATTGGGGTCCTTTCGTCATGTCAAGAATGTCATTTTAACAAACAAAGGACATTTTCAGTTGTGCTACTGCCTATAATTATGGTTGAGAATTTCAACAATGGGAAATACCACACCCCTACACTCCTGGCAGTGTGTTTCCTAGCAACATCTGATTTGAAATATGGCTGTTCATTGCTTAAATACCATTCAAAACTGAACAGATAGCTGTATTAGAACAGATGAAATGCAAATTTAAGACACAGTACCTGAAATTCTCCTTCCATCTATAGAAATAGTTAAAAAAAAGACCCTCCCCCACTGACACACTCACTCACCAACACAAGCTCTCTCATCTCTGCTCCCAGTATATAACATCACCCTTAATCCCCATTAATACCCACCATATGTTGCAGTTTTGTGCATTTAAACAACCATGTCAATACTGTTAACTGTCACTACATAGCTGGAAAGCTCATAAGAATGGTGCTGGAATGTTATGCATCTGCAAGGAAAATAAAATTGTGTGGAACCTGAAATTTCTGGTTAAAATCCGGGTATATTATCAGCCTCAACTTACATCAATACAGTTTCCTGTTGCACGAATGAGCAAAGCTGTAAGTATTCAGCTGAATAATAAAGCATTAACTGCCAATGGCTAATAGGACATTTAAACATTCATTGAATGTTAAGTGAGCCTAAGAGCTAGTCTGGAGACGAATGGAGCCAATGACCAATGATTCCTTTTAAGTTTCTAAAATGTCAGGAAATTACAAATTGCTGAGGTCATTGTGCTGTAACTGATTTTTCATTCTCAGCAGCTGCGAATATTATACCAAATTAGGTTTAGTGACCAGACGCAGGAGAATCAGAATGAAGATGGATAAACAGCTTTAGTGATGAAACTTAAGAATTTTGGTAACACTTTACGTAAGGCAATGTTTTTAGTGATTTATAAACATATTCATAAATAGTAATGCATTCATAAATCATTGTAAACATGGCGATAAATATTCATCATAAGGCATAACACATTATAGCCATGTTTATTATGCATTATGACTGCCTTATGAAGCTCTCGTCTGTAATGCACTATAGGTACCTTTATAATGCAGAATAATGGTTGGTATAAGCATTAAGGATGCTTTGTACTGCATTATAAAGGTATCTATAGCGTATTATAGATGAGAGCTTCATAAGGCAGTCATAATGCATAATAGACATGGCTATAATGTGTTATGCCTTTTCATAAATATTTGTAGCCATGTTTGTAATGCTTTATGAATGCATTATAATGCATTATGAGTGTTTATAAATTACTAAAAACACGTCCTTAAGTAAAGTTTTATCAGAATTTGTTCTACTAGCCAACTTGACTATCCATTCATCCATCCATTATCTATACCTCTTTATCCTTCTGGGTCGTGGGGAAGCTGGAGCCAATCCCAGCATCATCGGGCGAGAGGCGAGGTACACCCTGGGCAGGTCGCCAGTCCACCATAGTTCAGTATAAATTTGGTCCAACATGCAGATCCTTGACTAGCCAGCTCAGTTTTTTTTTTGTAGTCACCCCACGTCTAACTGTCTCGCCTCAGGGGAGTGACTGACCTTTATTTCCAGCCTTGGCTGTACTATCCGGTCAGGGTTAGTGCTCAGAAAAAAGAAATGTTCTTACTCTGACACGTTTTCTTGTCTTCGTTCAAGACAAAGCCCTCGCGACACTTGCAGTAATAGGAGGCGTTGCTGTTGACGCATATGTGCTGGCAGCCGTGCTCAAGAGCACAGGGGTCCAGACCTGGAAGGAATGAGGTCAGACAATCGCCTCTGGCCTGCTGGCTGCAAGTGGAACTTCAATCAGCATCGATGCGTGATTTTATACAACTACAAAAGGTCCTTTCCCCAGGGACACCCAGGCCAATGCTCTGAGAATAGATTCATTTTTATAATGCATCTGGTGAAAGACATACTGGTAAAAGAATGTACAATGAATCTGCAGTTTATAGTAATGTAACGTAAAGTAGTCAAGTAAGATAGTAAAGCATATTGACAATGTGTTTGTTACTGGACATAACTGGCAATAACATACAGAATCAGCTTAGTTTAAACTTAGACCTAGAAAGTTCCTGGAATTTATGGTTAAAGTTTAGTGTGAAATGCATTTGAGTTTTAAAAGTGTATATGTGTGTGTGTGTGTGTGTGTGTGTGTGTGTATCAACAATCAATCTCTTACAGTATTCTAAATAATTATTTCTAAACTAAAATTTTTAAAACCAACAACTTTCTCAAATAAAGCAAAATTACCTAAAATTACATGTCTCCTCCTATAACGTTTTATAATACATGCATTATAAAATTTAATTTTATATATATTATAAACTTCATTTAAGATGAAAATTAATCATGCTCTATAAAACATGGTTTTGCTTGATTAGTTGAAGTAGTAAATGATTACTGTGATAATCAGGCCTGAATTGACCCACATGTTTCATTAGGCACTACTATGTCCAGCTGTAACAGTTAAGGTCTTAGTGACAAACGACTTGGCGCAAACGGCCTTGCTCTTACCACACAGAGTCTCACGAAATTTGGAGGTGAGCTTCTCTATGACTCCGTAGGTCTCCACATAAAAGACATGCGCATTCAGCGGATTACTGGCCATCAACTGGAGTGACTGGATGTCGGCTCGGTCCACCCCAACAGCGTAGATCTCTATGCCAGAGGCTCGGGCTGTGGCTGAGACCTCCTCCACCTGGTCCTGGGGTCGGCCGTCCGTCACGATGATGGCTACCTTACCGATGTTCTGGGAAGGTGGCCGAGCACCTGACTGCTCAGTGAAGGCCTTCTCTAGGGCTGTCCTGATGGCGAGGCCAGTCATCGTGCCCGTGGCCAGCGGCTGGATGCGCATCAGGGCTTGCTTCATGTCCGCCTTGTTGAGGTGCGTCTTGAGTAGAAACTCGATCTTGACCGTGCTGGCGTAGTTGACCACTGCCACCCTGGTAGCAGCTGGGCCAACGTCCAGTGTGTCTACCATGTCGCCCAGGAATATCTTCACCTTTTCAAACTCACCAGGACGTACGCTTCGGGAGCTGTCGATGATGAAGACCAGGTCTAGGGGGCGGCTTTTGCACTGCGCTCCTTTCCCTAGTGGTCAAAAGTAGGTAGTGCAGCTTCAGGCAACCTTAGTCACAGACACATCCAATCACATGATCTTCCCTATCATATCTTATTCTTCTTCCCACATAAGAGTGTAACAGATTCTTAGAAAATGCCTCAAAATGCAGCCTACCTCTGGTATCCAGCGTCCTTGGTGTTGACACGGCCCTTTCTGGCGCCCGTGACCGTGCATTAAGTCTGTTTGTAGCATAACTTTCAGGTAAGTCGCTCTGTGGTGTAAAGTCCTTCGCCTTGTAGGTCCCGTGCACCTCCCAAGTCAGGACAGAGAAGCAGCAGACCAGACCTCCGAATAGGGATTTCATTGTTTCTAAGCTCTTCGCCACATCAGTTTCAAGTTCCTGTGCTGAACTCACAAGTATCTGAAATATATATGTTCTAGAGAGTAAATTTAAACATTCCTAACCAAAACACGTGCAGAAGCTTAGCCAACCCAAATGTGGAGGTGGAGACTTATACCAAATATTCTTAAAACATGTTATTTTTCTTAATATAAAGATAGAAATTTATTCTATCAATAAAAACATTTTATAGACCTATCAATAAAAATAAATTTCCATATATTGTTTAAGTACTAATTATACTATGTTATACTGAGGTTCTTGTCACACAATGTTTCCTCTTGTATTCATTTTAATTTGTATTAGCAGTAGAAACTTTTGTCTTAATTTAGTGTAATCAATTACCAGAAAGTAATCAAGCTTAAGAAGAAATACTATGCTCACTGTAACATATATAGTACATAATACTGATGACTAAATTTGTTTTTTTTTAACATTTTGCTGTAAGTTTTTGTCTCCGACTGCAGCATTTTTAACAAATGCCATATTATAAACCAGGAGATCGTAACCTTTCTTAAACCAGGGACCATCAAATGAAAACAGAGCAGTGCTATGGGACGGTGCCAGTATGGGACAGTAAATAAATAAACTTTGCATTCCTGGATTTTTATTTGTGACAAGGTATACAGTCAGACTATAACCTGTAAGGGTGGACCTAAGGTGTAGCCAAGGATGCCCCCATGCCCCCCCCCCCCATTAAATATGTGGCCACCACTCACCAAAAAATAAAAATAGAATATTGAGTAATTAATTCTGTAAGCCAGGGCTGCCCAACCCATTGATCATGGAATGCATCCAAGACGATCATAAGGTGATTAATGGATAAAGCTCGCAAAATCATTGAGTCTAGCCTGACCCGGCCTCTGAATGGAAGGTGGTCAGCCTTTGTTAAAGCCATTTGTTGAAACTTTGTCGGGAGACATTTGAAATGTTTTTGTAGTTGTTGTTGACGATGATGAAAAAAACAGCACTAGAGTGGATGAAAGTGATGTGCTGAGTATGACAGAGAAATCCAGGAGATGTCTTAAAGTCAGTTTAGTGGTACAGTATAGCAAGACTTATCTGAAATAGATTTAAACACTTCAAAAAGAAAAGGATATGATTTTAGAAATACTGAATGATAGTATTGATGGAATGCAAAATGCAATCATAATGTGTATGTCATCCAGTCATCTATCATTTTTACCATTTTCCAGGGTGATATAGAGCCTGGACTCTATCCCAGGCAGCATAAGGGAACACCAGTCCTTCGTAGGTCACACACTCACACAGACACTTTCACAAACTAAGGACAATTTACAGATACTGACTCACCTGCGTCTTTGGACTGGACAGAACACATAAGCTCTACACTTAGAGCTGGGAGCTAATTATACCTGCATGGGGAATGTTTAATTTTTGTGTATTTTTTAGCCATTAATAACCAGGTCTGAAGTGTTTGTAAGGGCAAATAAAAAAACATTTACACAAAATTTAACATGTGTTTTAACATTTCCCAAAACAAGTCCTTAAAAATCTCATTACCCCAACAGTCTGGAAACATCAAGATTATTAAGAAAGCCAAAACATTGTCACATTTTAAAAAAAAAAATCTTTGTCATGCTTATTAACATTCATGCTCAATTACTTGAAACTCTGAAATAATGTATATTTTTTAATTAACATTTTTGTTTGATTTCGACTGATTTCTGTCATTACCACAACAGCTTCTGGAATCTACAACCTAATATTTTTCGTATTTCACTGAAACTTTGATATATTTTTTAAGTAATGTGGCAAAACTGAAGGATCACAACATATTGATTCTACACATGCAAACTACATTTTTTTTATTTATTAAATTATCATTAAATGGACACCTTTGTGGTTATGATACAGAGGAAATGATGTTGATGGTTTCATGAGAATCACCCAAAATAGCAGCAATTTCAAGGTCATCCAAAGGACTAAATAAGACCCACCAGTAGAGGGCGCACGAGGCTATAGGGAGTACAAAATTAACAAATTAAAAATGATCCTTGAATATTACTTGTTTCTCTTAATAGGTCTAAACATAACACTGTACAGTTATTTTACAGACATATTGCAAGGTACAGGTTCTGATATCTCCTATATGCACTTTTAATGTATTTTAATGGATACTTGCTACCACAGACAGCTCAAGGATGACAGGATGAAAAGATGTTTACTTGCTGACCATAGATACTCTTCATCTGTATTGGACTCACACTGTTTGAAGGCAAGGGACAAAAAATTAAAAGGGTACCTATTGCACTATTTAATGGCACAAGTTATCTGTTTTGGACCTCTACTAGTCCTTCTTGACATCTGAACATTCTAAAGTGGGTGTGGCTAAAACTGAAAACATAAATGGTTGGAATAGATGTAAGTTTTTATAAATGTAAGTGTATTTACCTGCAAGAATAAAAATGGAAATAAGTATTTTAAACTCTAATTGTAGTCTAATCTAACCTTAGGGTTCCTGAACACTTTGTCATGTTTTATCTCCGCTTAGGAGTACCTTTTAAAGCACTGCATCCCATTTAATCCACTGGAGGGGCACCGATTTGGACACTTTGTCATGTTTTATCTCCGCTTAGGAGTACCTTTTAAAGCACTGCATCCCATTTAATTCACTGTAGGGGCACCGATTTGGACACTTTATCATGTTTCTCGCCGCTTAGGAGTACCCTTTACAACACTGCATCCCATTTAATCCACTGGAGGGGCACCGATTTGGACACTTTGTCATGTTTTATCTCCGCTTAGGAGAACCCTGTGCAGCACTGCATCCCGTTTCTTCTTCTGGCAAGGGCACCTTATGGGACACTTAATCATGTAGGGGTGGCATAGAGGGCACTTCATGATGGTACCCTTTTCCATTGGAAGGGCACTTTACAGGGTGCCGTGTCACATTTTCGGCACTCCAAGGACACTGATTAAGACATTTGATTACATTGTCTTGTTCTGTATATCACCATAGTACCTCATAAGGAGGGGGCACCATAGATAGCACTCAGTCAGACACACACACACACACATATATATATGTAATGTATGTATGCGTGTCTGTATATATGTTATATATATATACATACATTTCCTTACTAAGTTCTCTCTTTGGAGGTAGTTGATTGCATGATGCAACAGAGTCTACCCACGTAACGATAACTTCACAATATTTGAAGATAAATTTTAACATTTTTTACCCCACAACTTTCTTGCCCTAGTTTCTGTTTCAATCAAGTAAGTGTTGCCTAGCAACACTTACACTCAATTTGAGTCTTTGACAGCTGTATGTATTCATGTATGTATGTATGTATGTATGTATGCATGCATGCATGCATGCATGCGTGCATGATCTCATGGCCTCATTTGTGCATCACTCTGGACAAAATTGTCAGGCAAAGAAAATGTAAATGCAAATTCATCTAAACATTTATATAGCAAGACAGAACACATAGGCCACACTTAGAGCTGGGAGCTAATTACACATGCATGGGGGATGTTTATTTCTTGTGTATTTTTTAGCCATTAATAACCAGGTCTGAAGTGTTTGTAAGGGTAAATTAAAAATCATTTACAGAAAATTTAACATGTGTTTTAACATTTCCCAAAACAAGTCCTTAAAAATCTCATTACCCCAACAGTCTGGAAACATCAAGACTATTAAGATGTTTTACTCCAGAACTTTCTTGCCCTTGTTTTGTCACCGGAAGCGCTACGTAGCGCTATATGTATGCATGCATGTATGTATATGTATGTATGCATGCATGCATGCATGCATGCATGCATGTATTATTATCTGCCTAATTTGCGCATCACTCTGGACAAAATTGTCAGGCAAAGAAAATGTAAATGCAAATTTATCTAAACATTTATTGAAGGTACTTGTTTTCCATAAGGAACCATTAACAAAAAAGCAGCATGCCACCACTGAAGGTCACGACCCCAGCTGGTCTCTTTGGGCTGTGATCCAACAGAAGACTGGCTCTTCCTGAACCTAGATCAACAGCCCCAGCCCTCACTCCTTTAAAAAAAAAACACAAACCCTACAGGTGAACAGAACACAAATGCAAGAGACGAACAAACGCTTAAGGAAGAACCTTGGTGTACATTAAAGTTGTAATGGGGGCGTTTTCATACAGGTTACATATAAACTACTCTTCATCTTAGATTATGTGGGAATCAAGAAGAGGAAAACCTATGCAGAACTACATAAAGTGCCAAAATCAGATGAAGAAAAGGTTATATTTAAATGCACATATTCACTCATTTAAGGAGTAGACAGTGGCCAAAAATAGACTAATCAGAAATCAAGCAATATTACTGCCGTGTGAGATTTTATCAAAACAAAGACAGGAGTAAAGGAAAAATGTAAAGGACACAACCAATGGCCACCCTGCAAACAGTGGGGGCCAGAGGATGCTGAAGGTGCAGGACTCCGCTATGCAGGCAGGAACGGGGCACCTCAGGCAGGCAGGTATGGGGGCGGAGGCTCCTTCTCCGGCATCTTCATGGCCATCTCATAGGTGGGCAGGACATACTGTAGGTAAGGACACAGTCCCAATCAGCCAATCATTCAGGGAGTGTTCAATTTATATCTTTCTGATTGGACAGTTTGGCATTGCCTGTTAGGGATTTAAATGGGTACCTGGAGAGGTGCTTCAAAGGAGGGATAGACTGCAATCTCAGGTAGGTGCCTGTTGTTGATGTACTTATAACAGTTCCACACACAGTTGATCAGGTAGGCCTTATCAGGAAGAGAAAGCAGCGCCAATGAGAGTAGACCGAATGACTAACGCATCAGACTTCTCATGTCCGTCTAGAAAATTCCACCGGATCTTTACCTTGAGGATGAGGAGGAAGGCGAAGAAGACGAGAACAAAGAGGAGCAGGCAGCTGTTGTCAAGGGAAAGCAGGCTGTCCTTGTAGGGGAAGTCCGGCTGGGGGGGGGAGGAGGG